AAAAAAAAAAAAAAAAAGCCAAGGATAGGCCGGGCGTGGTGGCTCATGCCTGTAATCCAAGCACTTTGGGAGGCCAAGGTGGGTGGATTGCTTGAGCTCACAAGTTTGAGACCAGCCTAAGCAAAAGCGAGACCCCTGTCTCTACTTAAAATAGAAAAATCTGAGGCAGGAAGATCACTTGAGCCCAAGAGTTTAAGATTGCTGTAAGCTCTGATGCCAGGGCACTCTTCCTAGGGTGACAGCTTGAGACTCTGTCTCAAAAAGAAAAAAGCCAAGGAAAATTATTTGTCTTCAGCATTTAATTTTCATAATTTTGAATGGTGTTTCTCCTATGAGAGTATCAATCTCTTTTTGTTTTTATTTTTGAGATAGTCTTACTCTGTTGCCTCAGGCTAGAGTACTGTGGCATTAGCCTAGCTCACAGCAATCTCCAGCTACTGGGCTCAAGTGATCCACCTTGCTCTACCTCCCGAGTACCTGGGACTACAGGTGCCAGGCTGTTTTTCTATTTTTAGTAGAGATGGAGTCTTACTCTTGCTCAGGCAGTTTCAAACTCATAAGCTCAAGGAATCCACTTACCTTGGCCTCCCAGAGTTATAAGATTATAAAATGAACCACCATCTTATACAAGATGAATAGCTAATAGCCCAGCCCCTTAAATGACAAATTTCTTAATAGCTAATAGCCCTGTTTTGAGGCACACATCAGGTACAGTTCGTATAATGAATAGGCTGCATTTGGCTATGTCCCTTTTTAACACAATCATTCTAGTTTCTTTTCTTTGTCATCTTGGAAGCAAGGACCCAAGAGAAGAAAGGATTTTTTACAAATGTGTTAATTGGTTGATTTGAGTAGGAACAGTAATGCCTCAAATTAGGTTATAGGGTTTACACAAAGTTCAGAATTCCAAATCTTGGAATTATCAGTAAATAGTACTTTGTCTCAGGACTTCTATAAATTACTTATTGATTATTATCACCATAAATGCCCTATCAAAGATTAGCGTATTGCTTAGGATATTTTAGGGGGAAGTAGGGCTATAATTATACTTAGAGCCCAAAACTTGATACTGTCTAAACCACAGAATCTGTGGCTAAAGCAGTTAGGTTATTTCCATGATAACCTTATCATAAGAGAGATCTCCTTATCAGCTAAGGGGACATGGTATGACTACCCGATGTCCCAAAAATTGCTTCTAAAATCATACATAGGGAAATGGGAAATTATACCTTTATTTACAAAATAGTCATAACAGAATTTTACAAATATTTACAAAATATTCTGTATGAAGTAGCCACCTCTTTGTAAAATTTTGTGGTAACTATTTTGTAAATAAAGATACATTTACCTACAAATTCTCCTTTTCCCTATGTATGGCAACATTAGTAGTGACTTTGGGACACCCTGTATAATCTACACTAGTCTTTTTCAATCTTTTTAATTTCATGGCACATTTGAACCTACAGTTAAACTTCCATGGTGCCATTAAATTAGGCTGATCCAAAAAAAGGGCAAAAAAAATATACTTACTGTACTTTGAACTTTTTTTCTTTTTGAGACAAAGTCTCACTATGTCTCCCTTAGTAGAGTGCCGTGGTGTCAGAGCTCACAGCATCCTCCAACTCTTGGGCTTAAGCGAGTCTCCTACCTCAGCCTCCCAAGTAGCTGGGACTATCGGCGCCTGCTACAATGGCTGGTTATTTTTTGTTGCAGTTCCTTTGGGGTTTTTTTTTTTTTTTTTTTTTGAGACAGAGCCTCAAGCTATCCCCCTG